GAGCAGCATGCAGAACTGTTGCACAGGTGTCACCATGAGTTGTAAGCAACTCAATGGCATGTAACAATAACAAACAATATGATGGAGAAAAACATCTTCAAAGAGATAAATGATAATTTAATTACATATTTACATATAACTGAGTGAAATGTTTTCAAAGAGGTAAATGCTAATCCAGAAAAGAATTACATATAACTGAGAAGAACAATTTCAAAGAGGTAAATACTAATTTAAGAAAGATGCATTTCCTTTCTTTATAAACAGTTAAAAGTACTTTCCATGACTAAAAAAATAAAAAATAGAATTCTAGGGCAAAGCAACCAGTCTTTCAGGCTAAAGGTAATTGATGTCAGTTTTACAACTATATCAAATGTTTGAAAAATTCTGAATTTTTTAATACCACTGTATCATCTCTCACAATACTAGAACTTTTAGAGAGAACAATTTTGTTTATCTGCTCAAGACTGTAGCTTTAATAACTAGAACAATGCCTGAGACATAAAAATCCTAAAATAATAAAGTCCCTGATGCCTGTAGAATCCATCTGTGTCAGTTCTTTAACCATTCTTGGAAACACATGAAATCTTGCAGCTGTATTAGTTTTATTTGGAAAATAGAGTGAAAAGTTAGTTGAGTGCTTTAAGCTTAAAAAACAGAGCATATGATTTACAGAAATTGCCATCTGCCTCCATTTTAACCCTTAGCAAAGGTCCAGTTGACATCCTAAAACACCCTTCTTTTCTCTGAACTACAAAACCACCAAAGTTCATAATATTGCAATCAATCTCAACACTAACACACATCAACCCTCCACCCCAATTTGGAAGGTTTTTAAGATCTAATCTAAACTACATACATTTGACTAAGTCTCTGGTCTAGTGGCCTAGTGGCAAGAAGCTGTGCTGTAATCCTAAAGGCACAAGGTTTGAATCCACCCGCTGCTCCTAGGGAGAAGGACGGACAATCTCCTCCCTCGTGATTAACTGTCTCTGAAAAACCCGCCAGAGGGTCAGCTATGGGTCAGTTCAGACTTGAAGGGACACAACAACAGTTAAGCTACTTTTCTTTGAACAATAAAGGCTCTTAACATCAGATCCATTTCCATTAGCAAAGAAACCACTTTGGCTCACACCTTTTGGACACATTCTGCTGGATTAATGAAAATATTCTCTTCAGATTATCACAGACTTGTGTTAATAAAAACATCAAAAGTTTTTCCTTTTGTTTGAACTGCTGGTTGCCATATCTACTAGAATGTGTTTTAATAAAAACTTCCTGACTAGGTGACATCTTCTTTCAAAGAAGACTTCATAAACAATTACGTGAGTGAGTAATTTTTAAAATTCACAGAAAAGGCAAAACTGTAACTGAATTTTTTCTAATACTTATTAGTGAGTTTAACAATATTTGGACTTGGGTATAAATTGCATGGATAGAAAGCACACCTCTTTCGTTTTCTCTTTACGCAATATGCAGAATAAAAGCTTCTTTACTTTTGTAACATGGTATTTTCTCCTGGGATACCTCTTCCTTGTGATCTGGTACCTTGTGTTTGAGATTTAGTGTATCAGAAGAGACTTTTCAACATTCATGCAAATTCTAGGTTAATATTATTTTCCTTTCCCTGTTTCAGTATATTGACCATCTTCTGCATAACCAAGGTCTGCCATCCTGTGAGACAGCTTCCTTGGGGAATACGTCTTGCCTCTTAACTCCCAGCCATCGGCCAGAATCCTGGAGAGACTAGAATCATCTCCCAGAACCACAGCACCTATGTTCCCATACAACCCCTCAGAAGACTGATTCCAGTGACTGAATCAGCAGAATTTAACGTATTCCCCCTGAGTTGACCACATTGTGATCATTCAGAAACAAGTTGTAGCAGTTATGGTTTCAATACCTCATGGAACTTTCTTTCCCTCACTCTTCCTATGATTTTAAATGCTGTGTTATTCTTTGTGCTCACATGTAGTAAATGTAAAAGTACTCTTCTTTTTTTGCTTTTTTACACTTTTAATGGTCATCTAAGATTTACAGCACCAACTGATATTCCATTTAACTAGTGTAAATCTTTTGGTTTTTTGTGCTGATCCCAGCCCCTGCATTGCAACAGCACTCTTCACTCTTCAGCACTTCCTCACTGAGCTTCACCATCCTTCCAGCCTCTGGCCTCCTGCCTCCTGAGCTTGTTGTTGTTGTTATGTGTCCTCCAGTGAATGCTGTATCTCTGGGCAAATGTTGAGTTGTGTGGTAGATTGTTTCTTAGTAGTGAATGCCTGAGTGGTGCTCTTGTTCACTATAAATCTGTCTTTTTGTTTGACTGAAAGTTGTACCTCAGGGTTGAGTTTAATTTCAGGCTTAGTTAATAAGGCTTACAGTTTCAGGAACACCACCACTTTCTATAAGAGCCACAAGTCTGCCTACTTTTGTGATTTTTTTTTTAAGTTAGAAAGATTTTTCTTAAAGCTTTCCTGCAAAGTAAAACAAACGCCTTGGAAGCCCTTCCAGTAGCAGTTTTAAGTCATTACTCAAATGGACATAGTCGTGGGCCTTTTGTTTTGTTTTCCTTGATATATCTTTTTTTTTTACATTAGCCTAATTCTTATAACTTCATGAGGTTACATAAGTCAAGCTCTGCCCTGGTCAAATTAGGAATTGGGAAGCATTTAATCACAATAGGCAAAGTTCCTTTATATGCAACACAGTATGAGAGAGGGAGAAGGGAATTCTCACTAGGGGAGCAAACAGAAGAAACATAAATCTCCAATAACTGATAATCCTCAAAAATCTAAAGGAAACTCTAAAAACATAGAATCTTTGCTGAACTTAATTTTCCTCAGTTGAAAACAATAGACTCAAATGGTTCATAATCTTTTACTTTCCTCACATTTATTATTCTATTAAAATAAGAAATGAGGTTAGGAGTGATATAATTACTTATTAATGACATCATGTTTTTATTTCAACCATTCATATGTTCACAAATAATCTCTTTACAACTTTACACTTAAATACAAGTGCAGTGCCAATCACTGTGCATTGGTCAGATGCCATTTTGTTTATTTTGCAATACCTTGACAGCCTAGGCTTAGATGAAACCTTTCAAAATGCATAGATTACAGAAAACAACAAACCCATGATATATCTGTAAAACTTTAACATGAGAAATAGATGTTTTTATCATGATTTTGAGAGGGAAGTCAGAGTGTTTAAAGACAAGCATGATCGTTTGATCCATGTTTACAGATCTGTCATGCAGGAAAGATGTCAAACTTGCTTTCTGCTCCTTCAAAGACCATAATTGTAATTAATTAGTGGAACACAAAAGTGGGCAGCAATGGCTCAATCTAATGAGCACTTTAAAAAGTAAAAAACAAGTCTAAAAATGGACTGTCTGGAAAAGTTGTGATTTTCTCATATCTTAAAGGCTTCCTGCGTATTCAGAGGCTGAACGTGATTCTTCAGGATTCCATAGAAAGTTTATATGCAAAACCAAGAGCCAAAAGCCAACAGCATTCTCAATAGAGAGAGACTAAGGACATCCTCCTTGTCAACAAGACAGGCAAGGCTTCCCACTACCATCACTACTGTTCAATATTTTATTGGAAATACTTGCTAGAAAATTAAGACAAAATAAAGAAATGAGACATTCAAACTGTCAAGGGAGGGCAGTAAAGGGGTGAGGATAGGCAGGGGTGAAATCACAGGGTTGCACAGTTTGGTGGGTGGAGGGAGAGGGGGAAGCAAAAAGGAAAGTTACTGTAATAATTGGCAAAGAGGGTTAAATAGTTTTGCAGATCTTACTCAGCCATGATCATCTGTGGTTTTGTAATCTTAAATTTTTAAAGATTAAAATTTAGCCTGAACACCACTGTTATAAAATAGGACCGACATAGGGATTTGGGAGTAAAATGAGAAAGAAGTGGATAGATAATGAAAAAAGCATTGTAACAGATGAGGCAAAAGGCTGTCCTAAAGGAATGTATGATTAGGCATCATAGGTACCACAACAATCTGGAACAAGAGGTGCATCGCAAATGTATGCGTGTGTGTGTGTGTGTGTGTGTGTGTGTGTGCATCAGTGGTAATGTGCATGCTATTTATAAATAATAAACACAAGCATCCTTGCATTCATTCTCCATCACAAAGTTTCTCCTTCTACAAACTGAAGAATTCACTCATCTTGACTCTGTTCTTCTCATGCACAATAAATATCCTATACCGTTCCATGAATCTTAAGGCTGATCTCAATATTATAAAAAATCTTTACTATAATAATAGTAATTCACAAATTTTCTATTATAAAGCCAGGAAACATGCATCAAATCCAGTCAGCTTAAATGGCACCTGAATACTGAATCAACACATTGTATTAACCCTAACTCTTCACACAGATCACCATCTCCAAATAGGGCGAATTCTCTTCCTCAAAGAAGTGGTCCATGATTTATGCTTTCTTCAGGCTCTATATTAGACAAATTAATTTGTGTAGTATATCATCAGTCTGAGAATTTGTGTTTTGGAAGGAATCTTCAAAGTTATTTTAAGCCAATTCTTGCATTTTAAACAAAGAAACTAAAAGTCTCATAATGATTTAACATTTTCCAGTGTTAGGGCAATTGGAGAGTGAGAGGTGCAAAGGGGAATACTTTCTGGCCTGCTGTATAGTGGGTGAGTGGTTGACAGAGAAATAAAGACTATCAGTGATAAAATAAATCTTGCATGAATTTAACCTCTGTGGGTCCTCAAGAGGTATTTATACAGTGAAACTCAATGTTAATTGCTTAATGGAATATAGAATTCCATTAAGAACTGTAAAGAAAAAGAAACCCAGCTAATCTATGTTGTTGTTTGTTGTTATGTGTTGTCAAGTCGCCTGCAACTCATAGTGACCCTATGTACAACAGCTCTGAAGCCTGCCTTATCCTGAGCCAGTCTCACTGACTCCTGCTAGTCTATACTTACCTCAGAATTGCAGGAAATAAAAGTACCTCACTTACCTCTTTCAACATTACTGGCTGCAAGTGAAATTTGAGACTGGTTGAACGTATAGACTTCCAAGGAAGACATGTTCTGTGATCCTAAGCTCATGTGCAGTTTGGAGAGCTCTGATCAGAATTTCTTCCCTGAACTATCATGATTGAATATGGTTTTCTCCTTCAGTAGAGAAGAGTGATGAAACCCATAATCCATGAAGCAGATAGCTCCTTCCCAGAGTTCACTTATCTTAACGAGTTCTGACAGGGATGGAACTAGTATATTTTCTAAGTACCTCCTGACCAAGGACTGGGCACAGGTTTTGCCTCAGGGGTAATACCAGTACTTCCTTCAGAACAGTGTAGGGAAAATTGTTCTCCAAGAGACCTTTGAGACTTCTGGGCCCCACTGTGACAATTAGAATCAACTGACTGGCACCAACATCTGCCTTGTCATCCTTAATTCTCTCTACTCCCTTACACAAATCACCTTCCCAAACCAAACTCTGGTTCACTGTCATCAGACTACACCTTTCTTCTTTGTCCATGTTGCTCCAGACCAGGATTCATTTTACACTCATTTGATTAATCCAAATCCTATCAGTCCTTGAACAAGTAGACCCACCCCATGTCTCAGAAAATGACTGAACACTAATGCATTTTGTTGTAGTTTGATTTCTTTTTTTAAAAATTATTATTAAATTTTATTAGTTTTAATGAACATTTATAGAGATTTTAGGTTCTCATTCATTCATTGTTGCACTGTTTTCTCTACCCTCCTCCCCAGTTTGTACTTCTTCCCCCCCGAATGTCTGTTTTAATTGTCCAATTGCCACAGTGCTTGTCAAAGCCAGTTCTGATTAATCTCCTTTGTCAGTGTGTCCTTTGCCATTCCTTATCACTCCTCCCTGAGAGAGACTTCACCCTGATTCATAAGGAAAAGGGGATGGCGTATTCTCTTAGCTACTTCCTGCTGAAAAGGGATGCTGTGGGTTTCAGGGTAAAGATCTTCTCTCACTACTCTAAAGGGCCCCTTTGGCAGTAGGAAACACATAGACTATTATGGAGACTGATTTTGGAATTTAGATGCACTGTTATCAATTGTGCTTAGCCATACATGTTCATATCCTTGAAGATGTATCATGGAAGTGTTGCAGCCTAGAAGACACACATTTAACTAACAAGTTAAAAGTACATGAGTAAAAAATTAAAAAGCAATAATATTCCAAGTAGAGGTTCTAATAGTGGCAGAAATCAAGTTACAGAGGGAAGGTGGTTCTTACAATAAAAGGCCTATAGACTAGCACTTTGTCTATTATAGTGTACAGGTTAGGAACCACAAGATGTAGAGGCTCAGCTATGTCATTTATGGTTCTTAAGTCCTGGAGCAAATTCCATCTACCACTGGGCTGTTTTAGAACTCAGAAGTTCACATGCAAGGTAGAGGTGAAGTAAGGAACTGCTTATGAGGTTTTCTGTCCATTCCAGCAACTAAGAAGTAGTGAGAAGTGTTGGGACCTCAGAAGGCCTTTAGGACCAATTAGTAGGCTCTGTGTTCAGGAGAAAATGAATATACTTACCAGTAATGTTAATGCTCATCCACAGCTCTTCTGGGAGGATCTAAATCGTTGAAGCGTCCTCCTTTGTTTCCAGCTGGGAGCTGGGGCCTGTCAGTCTTGTCTGCCACGAGGACCTGATGTGGGCCACCTTGGCCAAGTGTCCTTCAGAGCCACACTTAAAGCAAGTAAGTGGGAACTTCCTCTCTACTCCCTTGCCTATCTGTGGCTCTCGTCTGTGATACTGTCTACTGAAGTGGCCCAGATTTCCACAGTGGAAGCAATTCTGACCTCCTTTATTACCTTTGGGTGGCTGTAGTTTGATTTCAATACGTAATGTTTAGCTTCTTCTCCTGAGCATAACATTTGAAAGCTTGTGTGTGTGTATGTGTGTGTGTGTGTGTGTGTTATCCCACTTAATTTTTTTAAGCAATAGTTCAAATATTGAGTGAAGAAAAACTGAAAGAATGAGATGAAATGATCAGTTGTGAACAGACCTGATGCATTTACGGCTATTTTGAACTTTTGTAAGTAGTTTTTCCATTGGAGAAGGAAACCAGGATTGTCGTGACATTTGTGGCTGGCTTATGGCAAGAACGATGTGAACTTGTTTGTCATACTTTTGCAAGTGACTCTCTTCTACAGCCACCCACCAGAGGTCTGATGATGCTCCTCAGTGCCCTTCTCTTGCTATGCCTGATGTTGTGTTCCTGCTCTTATGCATCTGGCACTAAGTGCGTGCCACAACACATTAGGTACGCCCTCTACCTCCTTATTTTGGCAGACTATGCCATCCTTGCAGTTAGTCCCTAGATTGACCAAAGCACCATCTCTGAGATCTCTCTCTCTAGTCACCTCTTGGACTGGAAAAAAATATCCCTGAGAGGTACTCCTGTGTATTTGGTGTTGGGTATATGCCATGCCCACCCTTCCCCTCTTGGGACCAATGAAATTTGTCATCTCTGAGCACCTCTTGGTTGATAGCAACTGACCACTGTAGGATGCCCTTGCAGATTTACTACCACACGCGTGCCACCCTCACACTTATAGGTGCATACATTCACCTGCTGGAGTCAGAAATGTATTCTAACTTTTTGTGCCCCCTCTATAATTTAGCTCCTGTACTGTTGAGACTGTCTTTGACAGGGTACCCTTATTACTCAGGCATGAGGTGCAAGCCACCTCTACATTTGGAAGGGATGCTTTATAACTCCTAACACCAGTGAAGTGTCATTTATGATTGAGTGTCTTGTTTACACTGAACTCCGGGCCTGGCAAAAACACCATCCTTGACAGGGTGGACTATTCGAGGCACCTCTGTGGTCAGCATAAACGCAATCCTAGTCAGGGTTCACCACCTCTGCATGTTCTGTAGGTCAATACAGGCTTTCTGCCTATCCTCACACCACATCTCTGGAGAACCACTGAACTAATGATGGAAGCTCTGTCCTTTACTGGGCACCTTGCCCTTGCTCACCACTCAGGTGAACAGAACTCCAACCCATCTGGGTGTCTCACACATAATCTTCTGCTAAACCAAAGAAAACACTCCAGGCCAAACATTTTTGTCTCTATATGCCTCAGCAGTCCCCTCCCGCCTTTAGCCAGATTTTTTCCCATGTTTTGCCTTCCTTCATCTCTCCTTCCTTCCTTTCTTAAGTTTTCATTTTTTAATCTGTTCTATGCGTTTAAAAAATTTCTTTTACTTTTTTTCTAAAATTTTTTCTACTCTTTTTTTCATTCCTTTCTTTGTCTTATTTCTCTCTTTCTTCCTGTTATTTTTTCCCTCCACCCTATTGGATGTCTACACAGTTTGTGATTTTCTATTTTGTTCTTTTACCCAGTGCAGGAAATTATATATATATATATTGTTGTGGTTATGTGCCATTGAGTCGTTTGCGACTCATAGCGACCCTATGTACAACAGTCTTAAGAGACACTTAAGAGACACTGGTCACAGCATAAAAAATTGTCAGCAGTTGAAGTGTTTGTAATCACAGAAGCCAAGAAAGCTTCAGATACAAGCTGTCAGATCATGGGTTGGACAATGGAAGATAATTTCTGAAGGGATTTTGTAGAAGTGAAGGGGTATACTGCTGGAGGGTGGAGTTGGGAAATAAGTGGGTCAAGGCACTGGGCAAAGGGCAGGGTCAACACTGTAACTAATGGTTAACTCCACAATGAGGGATTTATCTTTCACTGCTCCA